CCACCTCTGGCCTACATCTCAGTTCTTGTATAGATATGTAAATAAAAAATGAAAACTAAATCTTTAAAAATAATAAATGAAGGTATTCCCTAAAGTTTATTTAAACACACACACACAATTCTGGGCCGTGGCAAATACCACGGAAAAACAGTAAACAGGGAAAGAGGTGGCAAGAACAAGGTGTGGGGCCACTTCTGCAGGGTAGCCTGGGAGGGCCTCTCTGAGGAGGCAACACTGGAGAGAAACTGAGTGATGGGAAGGAGCCGACGTGCAGTGCAGGGAAGGTCTGTGGGAGGTGGCAACAGCATCTATGATGGCCCGGAGGCCGCCATTATTTGGGGGTTTGAGGTCGCCCAGGGTGGCGGGAGAGGAGCACTGGGTGGCGGGAGAGGATGCGTTGGCATGATTTGCCCTTTCAAGGGACAGGAGGAAGGAGGGAGACTCTGGGCCAGTAACCAGCACTCTCCATGCATTTGCACCTCATTTATTCCTCATGGTCACCCTGCGAGGAAGGGGCCGTCGCCTCGCTGACAGGCCAGACAGCGTGTGTTCGAAGGAGACCCCCCCATGGCCTGGAGACATCGCTGAGGTCCCGCTGGGAGACTCAAGCGAGCTCAAGCAGGGCCTGGGAGCACCTGGGTGTGGCTGCCGACCAGTGGGCCGAGCCGGCAGTAGGGGCTGGGGGTGCGAGACTGTGGTCAGGCAAGGGAGCAGCTCTGAGCGGTCACCAGTTGTGGTCATAGTAACCGTGTCCATGTGTCATGCACAATTCTGAGAGTACAGAACAGCATAGAGGGGAGCGTTAGGGCCTCCCCACTTTCCTTCCCCAGAGCTGCCCGCTTGCTTCCCCCAAGGACCTCTCTGGACAGCAGCCCCTTGGCCACAAACACTGGCCAGCAACTGTGGCCGTCCAGGGCCTCCAGGCACCACCTGCCAGAAAGCCCTACCGGCCCTGTGGTCTCTTAATCCCATGCCGGCTCTCGCCAGGTGCAGAGCTAGCTCTTTGTTTTCCATGGGAGGCACAGACAGCCTAAATCACTCACCCAAGGCACACAGCTAACAGGGGGTGGAGTCCGGGGCTCTGTGACAGCTTTGCAGAGGAGGAACCGGACTCACAGAGGCTGAGTAGCCAGCCCCCAGTCACCCAGAGAGGAGGCCCAGGAGCCAGGACTTGAGTTCAGCAGTCTCACTCCTGAGCCCAAGCCTGGCTTGTGCAGGGCAGTGGAGAAAGCACCGCAGCTCTGAGCCAGCCAGACCCAGCGTGACACATGCCTGCCAAGCCGCAAGGCCTTGGGCAAGTCACTGCTCTGGCACTTCGAGGTCGGCCTGCGAGTCAGCCTGGCTGATTTGCCTGAAGTCACGGGGTGGCTCTGCACAGCGCCCTGGAACCAGAGCCCCCTGCGCCCAGCTGACTGCCTTGCAGACAGAGAGAGGCTGGAGGCCCCAAGACAGAGCCCAGGGCTAGAGGATGGCGGGAGGAGGGAGAGACAGCTGGTGCCAAGGGGTGCTGGGGCCCCCCTCTCCTGCACGTTGGCCCCCTCTCCTGCGCGTTTCCCGGATGGGCACAGGGTACACTGCTGCCAGGTGGGTGTTTCAGGAGCCTGGAGTTCCTGGAGGGGCTCCTTCCCCTGCAGCCAAACTGACAGTGTAGGTGAGGTGCTCCCCAGGACACAGTGGGGGGCCCCTGCCTCCATCTTCTACCCCCCACTTCCCCACAGCCACATACAGGAATTCTGGGGCATAGGGGAAGGGAAAGGTTTCCACAGATCTGTGTCATGGGCCCAGGCCCCCGCCCTCCCCACCCCACCCCTGCGCCCAGGCAGAATGAGTACCAGGACCCTGCAAGGCCCGTGGGCAGGAGGGCGGGGTGCAGGGGAAGGAGCTGAAGCCAGGAGCAGGCAGGAAGGACAAAGAGATAAGAGCCTGGCCAGGTGCTGACTCAGGCTGGGTCCCGAGGAGGCCTTTATGTTGGCAGGGTCACCTCGGCTGGGGTGGGCTCTCCATCTAGCAGTCTCAGAAAAAGGCCTTATCTGCCTGTGTGATCTCTGACTCCCTGCCCCCACCCCTGCCCCATACATATACGCATAGGACCACATCTGATTTGGGGAGGCTGAAAAGACCACATTCTCCAGGTGTTGACTGACCCAAATGCCAGTTTTTTCTTCAACTGCACTGTGGACCAGACAGTCGGGGCCCTAAGGGTGTTAGTCTCCCCTCAGATCCCGCTTCCCCCACAGTCCTGAGAACCAGACTGACAATGTGCAGGGGGCCTGAGCAGCTGTAGGGACCTCCCCAGATGCACTGGGGCAGGGGGCTTTTAGGTTGGAACCTCAGTCCCATGCCTCTCTGGGCGTATTAACTCACCACTCAGAGCCTCAGTTTCCCTATCTGTAAAATGGGGGTTTTAGCAGAATGGAGATCCCAGTGTAAAGATAGAATGTCCCATACAACACCCAGCGTGTAGAGGGTGCTCAATAGATGTCACTCTTCCCCCATGACTGACTAATTAATCTCATTCTCTAAACCCCGCAGGCCTGAGACTCAATTTGGCACTGGTTCTGTGTTCCTGCCATTTGGGGGATGGACTTTCACTGTCAAATGCTAGAATTGAGGAGACATTTCCAGAGAGATGGGAGAGACTATTTGAAAAGGGCGCTGTCCCTCGTAAGGAGGCCGCAAGCCACCTTTGCTGGTGCCATGAGGCTCCCGATCCCGCCCACACCCTGCTCAAGGCTGGCTGCCTCCTTTGGCCACAGCAGCTCTATTCTGGCAACTTCTGTTTTCTAGAAGCTTCCTGGAAGATTCTACCTTCTGTCCTGACAATGTTCCGGGTGTCCTGTCTGGTCTGCTGGAGCCAAGGTGGCTGCAGCAAGTGACAGGGAAGCTGGGTCACCCCCTCCTTCTGGGTGGGCACCCAGAGGGGCTTTCCCACTACCACCCTCTGAGCCAGGCCCCAGAGCTCACGGCTGGGGTACGGGCTTTCCTGTGGGCGAGTGTGAAAGAACTCGAAAGGCTGGGGCCCCTCTCAAGGGGATGATGATTCTCAGAAAACCTGTCTTTCCTAAGTGAGGCAGAAATGACAAGCTAGAAATGATTTTGACCATCAGTTTTTCCAGGAAGGTGTTAAATTGATATTGAGCAGAAAAGGGCTTTCATGGTCAAATAAACTGAAACATCCTCTGGGTTTTTTCTCTGCAGGGCTTCTTGGTGCTTCCACGTCTCTGTGAAGCGCTAAGAGCCTGTATCTGCTGCCGGCAGCCAGGCCTGGTGGCTCACCGTGTCCCTCCCAGCTGTTCTGGGACACCTCGTGAGTGTGGAAGACCAGGAGACCCACTTCACAAAATGGCAAAATGGTTGAGAACCATCCCTCCTCCAC